TGTTGCAGAAGTACACCATGAGCTACCATACAAGTACCTCAGTGACCAAGCAGTGAGCTGTAGAGCCTAGCTCTATGTAAACATGAATTTTTAAACTGCATTGTGCCTCAGTTTATCCATCTTTACAATGGGGATTGTACTATGTTTTTGTTTACTTTTCTTCTCAGCTGACTGGATTATTTCCCCAGTCTATCTTCTTGCCATGCTTGATGCCCACAAAAGGCCCTAACATAATTTCTGACAACAGGACTCCTTGGGAAAAACAGAAGGTGCCACAGACCCCATTTTAGGAGAAACCTCTGTTTTCATCATGGAACCCCAAGAACTGTAGGCAGATAGGTCCCTCTCAAAATCTAAGGCTCTGCTCAGTTTTGCATCATGTTACCTGACTTTTTGACTTTTGGGAGCACCAGAAATTACTTTAGTAGGGGAGAGAGATATAAAGAAAGCTATAGATATGAAGTTGTATTTATGGTAAGGAAGGTTATGAAGAAAATAAATTTTATATGAGAAAAAATCTTGTATGGCAAATTCTTGTCCTAAAGTAGAATGCCTAATTATTCAGGAAAGAGGAAAATACAGACTAAGTCAGAAAGTCCAAGCAAGTCATAAACGGTCTGTAGAAGTGCAATAGGTTCATAAAATGGGAAAGAGGCCAGGCCCAGTGGCTCATGCCTGTAATCCCACCACTTTGGGAAGCCAAAGTGGGCAGATTATCTGAAGTCAAAAGTTCGAGACCACCCTGGCCAATATGGTGAAACCCCATCTCTACTAAAACTGTGAAAATTAGGCAGGTATGGTGGTGCACACCTCTAGTCCCAGCTACTCAGGAGGCTGAGGGACAAGAATTGCTTGAACCCAGGAGACAAAGGTTGCAATGAGCCAAGATTGCACCACTGTACTCCAGCCTCAGTGACAGAATAAGACTCTGTCTTAAAAAATATATAAAGGAAAGAAAAACTTAAAACTGCTAGATCTTCTGTCTACAAGTGTTATGTGTGTTTCTATAAAGGAGCTGCAATTAATTGGCTTAAAAGCTACAACCTAGAGATGAACCCCTCACATGATCATGTAAGCTATGCAGTTACCCAGACTGCATCATTTGGAAAATCTGTATGGTTTCATGGAAACCATTCATAGTTAAGGATACTTTAAAGGATTTGTAGTCTATGTATTACCAAGATAGGCCCAGTAGCTATGTTCACATTTTCCCTTGGGAAAACAGTACTAATCCTGAGACATCTAGTTGCCTATTGGTTCCTCAGTACAAAAATAACTCTGGGTGGTTGCTGGTGGACACTAAGTGTAACTACCTCCAATGGAAAAATAGAACTGCTAGGACAACTCAGGATACTTCCCAAGGTCCTTTCCAGCCTTTAACCAGGGCGACCCTAGCAGGGACCTTAATCACTTGGGAAAGTGAAAACAGCCCAGGTGCAGTGGCTCACACCTGTAATCCCAGCACTTTGGGAGGCTAAGGTGAGTGGATCACCTGAGGTCAGGAGTTCAAGACCAGCCTGGCCAACATGGTGAAATCCTGTCTCTACTAAAAACTACAAAAGTTAGCAAGGTGTGGTGGCAGGTACCTGTAATCCCTGCTACTTGAGAGGCTAAGGCAGGAGAATCGCTTGAACCTGGGTGGCAGAGGTTACAGTAAGCTGAGATTACGCCACTGCACTCCAGCCTGCACAACAGACAGAGTGAGACTCCATCTAAAAAAAAAAAAAAATACAAAAAAAAAAAAAGAAACTGAAAACAATAAGCTAACCCATACGTTCACCATAGAGAACAATTTTTGTCTTAAAAAACAAAGATCCTTTTTTCCTGTGTGGAATTAGTTCTACTTATGTTTACCAGCCAACTGGACTGGAACCTGTATACTTGTTTATTTAGCCTACCAAAATCAACATAGCTCCCAATAACCACTCTCTCATTATACTTTTAACTGCAACTGCCAGGCACAAATGAGCCATCCAACTCATACCCCTTTTGATAGGGCTAGGAATAATTGTAGGAGTAGCAATAGGAGTTAGTGGGCTTACAACTTCCCTATCCTATTACCAATGCTTGTCCAAGAATCTGTCAGACACCTTGGAAGACACTGCCCAAAGTATCGTCACCTTACAAAATCAAATATACTCCTTGGCAGCAGTTGCTTTACAAAATAGGAGGTGAGTGGATATCTTAACTACTCAAAAAGGTGGCTTACGTCTTTTCCTACAATAGGAATGTTGTTTTTATATCAACTGGTCAGGATTAGTAAGGGATGCCACTGAAAAATTAGCTGACAGGACTTCTAAAATATAACAACAGCTGTCTAAGTCATGGGGCTACTGGTCAAGGGTACTAAGCTGGGCTTCATGGCTCCTTCCCTTAGGACCATGTTTATTAAATCTTTCTACCAGATTATTTCTTCTCACCTAGAGATGATTAAGCTTCAAATGACCATGAAGCAGGACTTGCAGCCAGTTCCAGATGATGCTGCCAGCCCTGACCATCAAGAAGTCACCCTACCTCCACCTGATTGAGCAGTGGTCGATGGTCCCCAGTAGGTAGAGACTATGCCCCAATCAGCATGAAGTAGTTACAGAAGAAAACTACTGGTCCCTCTGCCTAGATTTATGAAGATCACATTTCTCAGGGGGAAATAAGGCAGAAGAACAGTTTATTTGAATAGCTTACATTTAGAATACAAATTCCAAGAAAGACAAGCAGATGTGACAGAGGAGAAGAAAGAAACACAGGAAGGGTCCGGACACAGAGAGCCTTCACTTCAGCCTACGACTGGCCATAAGCCAAGTCTTCATTTGCATAGGGTATAACTTCACTTAAGCCTCTGATTGGTTGCAGGCCAAGACTTTAGTTCAGCCTCCAACTGGTCATGGGCCAAGTCTTCATTTGCATAGGGTAACTTTACTTCAGCCTCTGATTGAGGCCAATGAATTGGTCATGAGCCTCCAATTGGTCATGGGCCAAGTCTCAAATCACATAGAGTGTAACCAACAGGAATCCTCCAAAGGGTACTTAAACCCCAGAAAATTTGCAACCACAGCTCTTGGGCTGCTTGCTTGAGCTCACTCCCACTCTGTGGAGTGTACTTTCATTTCAATAAAGCTATGCTTTCATCTTCTGTAGCTTTGTTTGTGTGTTTTGTCCAATTCTTTGTTCAACATGCCAAGAACCTGAACAACTCATAGTCAAGACCCTCTACTGGTAACAATGTGAATGCACGACTGTTTCCCAAAAGCTTACTTAAATTCCATGAACTAGCTAGAAGGTCACTTTATAACCAGTTTTGAGAACTACTTTTTGAAATATGTCATCATGAAAGAAGGTAAAAACTTTTGTTTAAAGATGTGAATTACAGGCCAGGCATGGTAGCTCACACCTGTAATCCCAGCACTTTGGGAGGCCGAGGCAGGCAGATCATCTGAGGTCAGGAGTTCAAGAACAGCCTGACCAACATGGTGAAACCCCATGTCTACTAAAAATGCAAAAGTTAGCTGGGCATGGTGGCAGGTGCCTGTAATCCCAGCTACTCAGGAGGCTGAGGGAGGAGAATTGCTTGAACCCAGGAAGTGGAGGTTGCAGTGAGTTAAGGCCATGCCATTACATTTCAGCCTGGGCAACAATAGTGAAACTCAGTCTCAAAAAATAAATACATATATATATATGAATTACAGATGAACGAGACACAGCCTGGTACTACATGTCAATCACCAAAGACTGGCTGATATTTAGTATCATCTCAGTCCCACAATAGATAGCATGAAGGCAACAAATCACCTCTGAATATCCAGCTTCTATTGGTCCTCAGTTGTAGGGTTAAAGCCTATTTTTCAGATATTGTCATACTGAAAGAACTACTAGAGGTGACCTTCAAAAATCTGGTCTCTTAATAGGCCATAAGTCCCTGGCCAGGCACAGTGGCTTATGCCTGTAATCCCAACACTTTGGGAGTCCGAAGCGGGCAGATCATGAGGTCATGAGTTCAAAACCAGCCTGGCCAGCATGGTGAAACCCCATCTCTACTAAAAATACAAAATTACCCAGGCATGGTGGCACACACCTCTAGTCCCAGCTACTCAGGAAGCTGAGGCAGAAAAATCGCTTAATCCCGGGAGGCAAAGGTTGTGGTGAGCCGATATCATACCACTGCACTCTAGCCTGGGCGGCAAAGCAAAACTCAGTCTCAAAACAAACAAACAAAAACCGTAAGTCCCATTTCCCACAGATCATTCTGGATGCCCATAGACAAGGGTTTTTCTTTTGGATTTGTATGTGCTTTGTTCTTTTACATTTATAAAGTAAAGGCATAAAACATCTGAGCTTGTCTATGATGGTAACTCTGATGACAATGTCACAGGCATACCTCAAGAAAATGATACTCTCCAATACAAAATGGCATATAGTGTTTAGTGAGGACCATTTACAGTGAACTGAAAAGATTACAAGATTCCTTGATGTATCTTAAATAAGTTAAAATTTAACTTTATCTTAAATAAAGTTAAAATTTAACTTTATCTTAAATAAAGTTAAAAATTACAGCAAGTTTCCACAAATCTCTTGAAATTTGTTACACCTCCAGAGAGCCCAGATTAAATCAATCTTTTCTCTCCCTTTCTTCTTCTCACTTCCCTTCTCTTCTGTCAGATTTCTTTCTTCTCCCATTTCCCTCTCTCATGTACCTCAACCCCTTATGCCCTTCTCTCACCTCACTCCTGCCATCTCTTCTCTCTACTCTTCCTTTCTTCTCTCCCTTGTTCTCGCTCTCCTTTTCCCTCCCTCCATCTTCTTCTACCTTCTGTCTGTCTTCCTGTGTTTCTTTCTTCTCCTCTTTTACATCTGTTTGTATTTCCTTCTTTCTTGGAATTTATATTCTGAATATAAACTATTCAAATAAACTGAATAAACTCATGTTAGAATGAACTAAAAGGACACCACTTCACATTTTAGAACTCTCCTATAATAAATATCTGAAGAATTATTAAAATACTTACCCTGAAGCATTATATAAGTCTGCAAGCTGATATAGAATATCAATTTCTAGTGGTGTGACTTGTCCATAGCGTATGGCACTCTGGGAAAATTCCTCTGGAAGGGAGAGAAAAAATGTTTAAATCTTGAATGATTCTTAATATATAACAAAGTTCTGCCTTCACCAACTATAATATGATTATATTATATTCAGGCATTTTAGTATCATTTTTTAAATCTAAAATTGAAGTTAAATATTTAGGTTCAACTATATAAGAATATGTATTTCTGAAAGCTGGTAAAAGATAAAATGTTAAGATGATAAAACAGAAAAACAGATAAATTAACTTCAAGAATTAAACAATCTCTTCAGAAGCTCATCTCTCTTATCCTGCTTATTCACTCTGCTCTCCAGAGGTACAATACAAAAGAAGCGGTTGTTCTCCAGTCTTTCAAAACATCCTAATACCACTCACCAAAAGTAGTCTTGCCCATCTTTCTGTGGCAACTCCTTCCTAGTACAAACAAGCTGCTGCCACAGTGCCACTGACCTGTTTGACAGATTGGGCCAAGGTTCTTTTCAAAACTGTCAAAGCCACTTTTCCACTCCTGACCTCAGTATCACATTAAATTCACCTGAATTTTGCAGCCCAAGTAAAGCATACATACATCTGGTAACATACTTCCTAGATCTGACTTTAGAGTGGTAAGCTTAGATCAACATCATGCCTTGATGAAGAAAAGTGAAAATGCTGAGAGTCTTATACATATATATTTTTAAATCTTACCCTTTGTGACTTCAACATCTTTCCTTGTGCCAGCTAGAGTGCTATATATCTTACGAACAAGCTCCATGTTATTCAGTAAGGAGTTAAATGCATTGAAGTAGGAGAAGCTAACCTGGTGTGAGATACTTCCTCCAGCTGCCTAGAAAATGACAACACAAAAAAGTTTAAAAAACAAACAAAAACATGTTTATAGACACTGCACTTTTCTCAAAGAGGACCCAAAGGAGTCTTCATTATTAAAATGACTTTAACAACCAGTCCATAAATACAAGGAAAGTATCACACTGAAATAGTGCATTGCATGCCCTCAGGGAAGTCTATGTAATTTCGGTTTTAAGGAAGAAAGCAACATCTGGAAGTTGGACTTCATGGTTCATCTACCTATAAGGTCAAAAACAACAAATATAATTATCACAGACCAAAACAATGGTTATTTAAATAGGATCTTCAAGACCCTCAACTATGAAACTCTTGCTAGTCCTGAATAAACAAAACATCACTGTAAAATCTACAGAACACTTTTTAACCTAGTTTTTTCCTCCATACACATATACAAAAATTAAATGGTGACTTTAAATTTTAAGACAATTTTATTACATCAACTTTTCCTAACTCTTTAAGGCCACTGTTATAATTAAAATACCTAACAATCTGTGGTGAACTCTAAATTTGGATCACGAAGGGTACAATTATCAAAAACTTCAAAAAATCTGGAGAGAATTTATTCCCTATTGAGTTACATCTTCAGTGGAATAGTGGAAAAGAGGCTCTCTCATGTCCGATATGGGGGAAAACGTGGCCTTCACTACTTCTGTAGGATGAGGAGGTAATTTGTTCTTTGCCCATCACTTGGACATAAACTCAAAAGAGAATATTTTGCAGAGTTTGCAAAAGCCTTGTTTTCAAGCCAGAAGTCAGAGGAACTCATATAATTGAAAACATTCTCCATTAAAAATGCAACGAAATGCTTATGTAACTACCAATGTGACAACTTTAATCATAAAAGTCTATTACAAATAGTGTAGGTAATGATGGGCAAATATATCCCACCCCACCATCCCTCACACTCATGCCTTAACCTAAATACAGATTATATCTGTGTTAGCTTGAATTTGGATACCAGAGACCCAAAAGCTGGACTCTAATTATTTAATATATTCCTCTGAGGGTTTGAATTGGTTTTTGGTAAACTGAGGCTATCATAGGTCTATCTAACCCAGTTGGAAAAGATTAAATGAGTCCCCTCCCACTAAGGTACTGAGCCCCGCCAAGATTCTCTTTCCTTCTCCCTTTATCCCTTTCTTTCCTTCCTTCTTCCATTTTTTGGTTGGGGTATGAGGTGAGGGCAGGGTAATGGGGGATGGATGGTGTCAAGGAGGTGAAACGTGTAGGAGAAAGTGACATGCTCCATGTTCAGATTCACTGAAGAAAAAGAACAGAAGTTGATCTTTCTACCCCAGTCTAAATCAGGGATAATGATCTTCAGCTGAAACAACAAAGGCACTCATTGGCTTCCCTCCATTCAAAACAAGCAGTAATCAAAAACTTATACATGAGTACAACGCATGGACAAGAAAACGGGTAAGTGAGGAAAGTTTCACCACTCTATGTGAGGAAGTGGATGACATGAGTTTGCTATTGGTCCAGATGATTACTTAATAGAGATTAGCAGTTTGACAGAATAAAAAACTGTGTGTGGTGCATACGGACTGAATGCACAGGTGAAGGGGCAGAGAGAGGAGTGAGCCACAGGGGCTAATGGCCACATATTTCCTCCATACCTTCTGCCATGGGCATGGTTATTAAAACAGTGCAGAAGCCAATGACGATCCCTCCAGCAGACAGCACCCTGAAAGCAACAAAGGAAGGAGCCATCTTTATAGCAAGACCTTGGGAGCCTGGTGGTGTAGAAAGAGGCCAAGATGAAGGCAGTAGTGTCTGGGAGAGTTACTGACCACTGGAAAAAGTAATTGCTCACCCTTGTCTATAAACACTGGTTTCCCTTGAACTGGACTCTGTAAATGGAAATAAACAATTTGGAAATATATGAGAGCAAGATGGTGGCTCTGAATAAAGCTATGATCTGAGGAAAGACGACTCAGCATAACCTCTACCTCCGTTATACACACACATACACACAGACACGCGCATGCACACACACATGCATGCATGCGTGTACACACACACACACACACACACACACACACACACACACACACCCCGTTTACTTTCTATCAACCAAGCATGAAACTTGAATAGTTGAGAGTCCTATGAGTCCCTGGAGGCAATCCAGGACCCAATGTATCAAAAGGTTTGAGGAAATAGAAAGTTAAAGAACTTGCTTTTTACTTACTGAAACTAAGTTCTCCTCCACAAAAGGAGTAAGCATGTGAGATCTAATGGTAACCATGATGTCACTGAAATCCAGTCCAGAAATCACGCCACTTTTGCTTTTGTCTTTCAGTGCAAAGGCTTGTCTTGCATGTTCCAATTGCAGCTCCTGTGAGGAAATTAGAAATAGGGCATTAAGTTGGTTAAATACATTCCAAGTACACGTTTTGGAAAGGAAGGAAAGACAGGTATCCCTCCCACACATGCACTTACTAAAAACAAACAATGAACAGCTCTGAATCTATAACAAAGCTTTTAATTTCTTTTAAAAAGCATGTGTTTTCTTAAAAATGTACTATGTATTGCTCCTCAGGAAAAAGAATGAATGAGAGCATGGCAATAAAGGAAAAGTAGGAAAAAAATAACACAAAGATTTTACTTGACAAGTTTTTATTAGTGAAAACAGAGTATAATGTTTTCAGTGTTATTTCGGCCTTTAAAACATACAGTAATTTCTCTCTCCTGCTTGAAGGCTTACTTGTCATCAAAGAGCACTTCATCAATTAAGAGTTTAGATTCATTTTCAGTTTTCAATTTTAAATGCTGCAATCAACATTTCTCTCTCTCTCTCTCTCTCTCTCACATTCTATAAATGAATTAGAGACCATTTTTTCAAACAAATTTTTCAAATAAACTCAGTGAGAGACTCTACCAACCGGTAAATGCAATACTCAGTCGTTCTAAAATGAAAGTCAGGAATAACAAACTGCAAAAGCAGTGTTCAGCTATCACTGGCGCTGGGCACCACTACTCATAAACTGTGCGACAGCCCACAATAGCTCTGAACTTTTGAACTACTAGGCAACCAAAGTTTGTAATAAGTGATATCCACACAAACAACCAAACGTGTCAGTAATCCCCTGGGTACTATATAAAAGTAAAAAATCAGAGCCTTTCTGTTATGGGGACCTATGCCAAAATACAAAAAAACCTGTTAGCAATCATAATAATGGTGCTGCTATTGGATGCCACTGTCACACTCTGCAACTCTGAAAATAACAGTCATATCTAAGAATATACATATCATTCAAAGATAAGATGACATAATTTTCATTCACATTGATTTATCAAAGACTATGAATCAATGTTGCTTTACCTTTTCCTGTCATTAAAAGAAGTTTTTATAGATGTCTCACCATTTTTATTTAATTATATTTTCCTATGTACTTGTGAAAACTCACTCAATTTTCCCATGACCTCAGCTCCAACCACTTCACCCTTCAGATAAAGTGGGAATTTTCAATACGTCTAGGCTGAAAATGGTCCCCAGGGCAAGGATATTCCTAAACGTCATCAGAAGCAGACATAGATCCACTTCCTGTCTTATATACCTTTTTCTTTCCTTCTACCTCCTTTGTATCTCTTTCTTATGTCTCTGTCTTTCCTATATGTCTTAATATCCCAGAAATATCAAATGGTAGCTATGGATACAATTTAGCCTTATTAATAACACGCAATACTAAAGAAGATATGGACCTTTACCTTCAAGATGAAGCAGAATGCTCAGAAGGGGTAATGTTGGTAGAATAGATTTTCTGTTTTCTATAAGGTCAACAGTTAAAGGACTCTTATTTATCTTTTAAAGATACAGATTTGAAGTATCACAGATGAAAAAAATCATAGAGTATGTCTGTCTGGCTTTTAAATGATCCTGCAGGAGGCAAGGTGGAGGGTATAAATAAAAAAGATTGGCCAAAAAGGGGTAATTCTTGAAGCTGGTTGTAGGTACAGGAAGTTAATTACACTATTCTCTCTACTTTTTAGTATATTTGAAGTCTTTCAAAATAAAAAGGTTTTAAAAATTAAAATGACTTAAAAATGAGAAGTTACACATGGAAAGAAAGGAGTTACATATATACACCTCTCAGTTTATATCCCATAATTAAAACATGAGGGTGTAATAGATATTCTAAAACAGCCTCTGTAAATGCAAGGAAAACAGTGGGAGAAAGAGAGAGAAAGTAATCTTTGGATGAATCTTAAACACTAGTCAGGCAGACATTTCCTTTTTTAAAAATTAGCTCGCAAATGCATATATTTTCAGCTTCAAGTTTCAGAATTTTACAAGGTGAGTTAAATAGGCACTAACAGGGAAAGTGTTAGAATAAGCACCCGCTTCCGCAAATACCCACACCTAAAGCTCATAGTTTCAAATCTGTGATCATCCTAATAAAGAAAACAATACTGTGGGCTATGAAAGGTAAAATAAATAAATCCTGGGTTAAAAGGATAGGTAGGTAGGTGGGTGGGTAGATAGGGGAACTAAAGGATGTTAAAGGAAAGATAAAGAAAGACAGTTATGCTGAAGGGAAATATCCTATGCCCTTGAAAATGCATTTTATCTAATAATGAGATTAAAAATTAGCAGAGCTTCAGAAACAGTGTGACCCTGGATGAGACTAAACTTGTACATTTAACTCTACTGTCTTCCAAAACTCCACTCTCCGCTAAAATCACAATAAAGGAATAAAACAAAATGAAATAGAAACGCAAGGTCAAAGGCAACAAAAAAGGAGAAGATAGCAACTATATTTTCCCGATCAGAAAGCAGAAAAGCAAATGACAGCTGACTTAATGGACTCAAAAAAACTTAGCAGAAAAAGCCAAAAAGGAAACTAATATACATGACAGAACCCCCAAAAGATTCAGTTATTAGCTACATTGGTACCTCTGGACGTGATGGTGAAGGTGGAGGTGAAAACAAGGGGCTTAGTTGGAGTCTGTTTAAGAAGCAGTTAATCACCTGCCTTACTCCAAATAAGGCCTTGGCCCTTTCCCAACCTTGGCAGAAGACTAGTGGTCTACTGTCTGAAGAGTTTAATAGAGGATCTCTGAAACAGCATAGACCACACACAGTTAAGAGGGAGAATACCACAGTGAAAAAAGGTAATAAACTGAAAGTCCTTCTGCAAAACTGAACATTGAGACCTCCAACTAATTATTACTCAGCAACCAAAACATCAAAAGCCAGATCTAATTTTCCAGATTGGAGACCAGATAATCTTTCCCTGATTCCCTAATCTGATATAAAAGACCTAGCCTAGGCAACATGGCAAAACCTCACCTCTACAAAAAATACAAAAAATTAGGCGGGCATGGTGGCACATGCCTATAGTTCCAGCTATTCAGGAGGCTCAGATGGGAGGTGCTGGAACCTGGGAAAGTCAAGGCTACTGTGAGACATGATCCTGTCACTGCACTCCAGCCTGGAGGACAGAGCAAGACCCTGATTCAAAGAAAAAAAACAAAAACAGAGACCCAAACAAATAGTAAAAAAAAAAAAACAAGAAAGAAAAAGAAAAGAAATGTGGAGAAAGCAGACACTATGCAAGAAGAAAACTTTAAAAAAAAAAACAATAAAACCTGTCTTTAATTAACATCTTTGAAGACGTGAAAGAAAACAGTGCATCCATGAAACAAGAACAGTATGCCATTTTTTTAAAATGAATATTCAGAAACAAAAAAAAGCTCCTGAAAATCAGAAATACAACAGAAATATAAAATTTAATAGAAGGGTCAGAAGGAAAATAGGAGAGAAAACTAAAAACTCATAAATGTAACCTTTAATAGTCCTAGAAAGTAAGAAAATAAGAAAAGTAATAAAATTTTCAAGAATTGAAGGACAAAGTTTCCAAATTAGAAAAGCCCAATGAATGAACAGCCCAGAACAATGAATAAAAATAAACTCACACCAAGGAATATCATCTTGAAATTTCATAAACACCAAAAAAAAAGAAAAAAAATATTAAAACACTCCAGAGTTGGTGGTGGGGAGTAGCTTTAAGACTAAATCAAGAATGAGAATGGCACTGTGGCAACACTGGAAACTAGAAACAAAAGAACAATGCTTTCAAAATTATAAGAAAAACAGCCGGGCACGGTGGCGCGTGCCTGTAGTTCCAGCTACTCAGGAGGCTGGGGTGGGAGGATTGCTTGAGCCCAGGAGTTCCGGGCTGCAGTGTGCTACGCCAATTGGGTGTCCACATTAAGTTCAGCATCATAGGGTGATCTCCCGGGAGCGGGGGACCGCCAGGTTGCCTAAGGTGGGGTGAACCGGCCCAGGTTGGAAATGGAGGTCAAAATTATAAGAAAAATAAACTCCTACTAGAATTCAACAACCAAACTATTTAAGTGTAATGGTGGAACAAGAGGGGTTTGTTTGTTTGGTTTTTTTTTTTAGACAGTGTCTTGCTCTGTTGCCAGGCTGGAGTGCAGTGGTGTGATCTTGGCTCACTGCAACCTCCACCTCCCAGGTTCAAGTGATTCTCCTGCCTCAGCCTCCCATGTAGCTGGGAATACACATGCATGCCACCACACCCAGTAATTTTTGCATTTTTAGTAGAGACAGGGTTTCACCATGTTGGCCAGGATGGTCTCAATCTCTTGACCTTGTGATCCACCTAACTAGGCTTCCCAAAGTACTGGGATTATAGGTGTGAGCCACCACACCCAGCCTGTTTGTTTTGAGATGGAGTCTTGCTCTGTCTCCCAGGTTGGAATGCAGTGGTAGGATCATGGCTCACTGAAGCCTCTACCTCCTTGGGCTCAAGCATCAATCTCACCTCCTGAGTAGCTGGTACTACAGTTGTGTGGCACCATACCCAGCTAATTTTTGTTGTCCAGGCTGGTCTCAAACTCCTGGGCTCAAGCGATCTGCCCACCTTGGCCTCCCAAAGTGCTAGGATTACAGGTGTGAGCCACTGCACTCAGCCGGAACAAGAGGTTTTTACATGTGAAAGGTCTCAAAAAAATATTATTCTACTTTCCTCAAGAAGCCACTGCAGGAATTATTCTACCAAAAATAAGTAAACCACAATAAAAGAAGAGATAAAATGCAGCAAACAGGAGGGTCAACATAATGGAATGGCAAATGGATTCTCCAAGATAAAAGTGAAGGGTGATCACAGAATGACAGCTATGCAGCAAGCTTACACAGTCTGGCTTCTGGCTCAGAAGCAGGTCAGAAAGCAACAGGAAAATGGTACTGTGGAAAACAGCCAGGTGGTTCCTCAAAAAGTTAAACAGAATTACTGTATGACCCAGCAATTCCTCTCCTAAGTCTATACCCAAAAGAACTGAAAACAGGTATTCAAACAAATATTTGTATACATATGCTCACAGCAGCACTATTCACAATAACCATAAGGTGGGAACAACCCAAATGTCCATCAGCTGATGAATGGATAGACAAAATATAGTGTATTTATACACAGAATTGTATTCAGCCACAAAAAAGGAATGAAGCACTGATATATGCTATGACATGGATAATTCTTAAAAATGCTAAGGGAAAAATTATGCTAAGGGAAAAAAAAAAAAACAATGCAAAAGTTCATATTGTCTGTCCAGGCGTGGTGGCTGACACATGTAATGCCAGCACTTCGGGATGCTGAGGCGGGCAGATCACCTGAGGTCAGGAGTTTGAGACTAGCCTGGCCAACATGGTGAAACCCTGTCTCCTGCTGAGGTAGGAGAATCACTTGGACCCGGGAGGCAGAGGGTGCAGTGAGCTGAGATCATGCCATTGCAACTCCAGCCTGGACGACAAGAGCAAAACTCCATCTCAATAAAAAAGTTCATATTGTACAATTCCATTTATATTAAATATCCATAACAGGTAAATCCATAGAGAAAGATTAAGTAGGCTGGAAGTTGCCAGAGCTGGAGGGAAAGCAGAAATAGAAAGTGGCGCTTAATGGAACAGGGTTTCCTTTAGGGATGATAAAATTTTTTGGAACTAGATATAGGTGGTGGTTACAAGACACTGTCAATGTACTACATGCCACTAAATTGTGGACTTTTATTTATTTTATTTTTATTTTTTGAGATGGAATCTCACTCTGTCACCCAGACTAGAGTGCAGCAGTGCGATCTCAGCTCACTGCAACCTCCACCTCCTAGGTTCAAGCAATTCTCCTGCTTCAGCCTCTCAATTCAAGTAGCTGGGATTACAGTGCTCGCCATCTCACCTGGCTAATTTTTGTATTTTTAGTGGAGACAAGGTTTCACCATATTGGCCAGGCTGGTCTCAAACTCCTGATCTCAAGTGATCTGCCCACCTCGACCTCCCAAAGTGCTGGGATTACAGGTGTGAGCCACTGTACCTGGCCTAAATTGTGCACTTTTAAATATTAATTTTATGTTATGTAAATTTTACCTCAATTTTTTTTAAAAAAGAAAGAAAGCTCCTGGAGAGCTCCATGAAGATGAAATTCATAGAATACCTAATATGTTTTAAATGTATTAAAAAGAGATTTTAATAACTGGGCCAAGGTTTGAGAATGACTTGGTACATAGAAAACTAAACAAATGAAAACTAGAAACTCTAAAAACAATAATAACTTTAGGCTGGGTGCGGTGGCTCACACCTGTAATATCAGCACTTTGGGAGGTCAAGGCGGACAGAGGTAAGCTGTTCAAGAGCAGCCCGGCCAACATGGTGAAACCCTATCTCTACTAAAAATACAAAAATTAGCTAGGCATGGTGGCACAGTCCCATAATCCCAGCTGTTTGAGTGGCAGAGACATGAGAATCACTTGAACCCAGGGGTGGAGGTTGCAGTGATCCAGGATCACACTACTGCACTCCAGCCTGGGCGACACAGCCAGACTCTGTCTCAAAAATATATATAATAATAACTGTAGCCATGAATAGTATTTACAAAATTACAATAACTCATAGGATTACAGATCTAAGCAGAATCATGACATAATTATATTGGGGAAAAGAGGACAGAAGTCCAAGTTAGTGATAGACAGGGAGAGGGGAGAGGTGAAAGAACTAGTTTATAATCTTCTATAGTTGGAATTCAATTTAAAAACACTTAAAAGTAGAAAATTAAAAAGTAGAAGTGCTTTACTACTTAAATAAATAGAAGTAAACCCTGAAAGAAATAGCTGTAAGAGTTTAAAGAAGTTGTCTCTGGCGAGTGGGAAATTTAAAAAATAGAGGTGACATTGATGATAGATTGGACAAGGAAAATGTGGCACATATACACCATGGAATACTATGCAGCCATAAAAAATGATAAGTTTCTGTCTTTTGCAGGAACATGGATGAATCTGGAAACCATCATTCTCAGCAAACTGACACAAGAACAGAAAATCAAACACCACATGTTCTCATTCACAGGTGGGTGTTGAACAATGAGAACACACAGACACAGGGAGGGGAGCATCATACACTGGGGTCTGCTGGGGGGGGTCTAGGGAAGGGACAGAGGGGGACAGGGAGTTGGGGAGGGATAACATGGGGAGAAATGCAAGATATAGGTGACAGGGATGGAGACAGCAAACCACATTGCCATGTATGTAACTATGCAACGATCCTGCATGTTCTGCACATGCTCCCCAGAACCTAAAGCACAATAAAATGTATTTTTAAAAAAATAGGGGTGAAATATCACAGAGAACTTCTATTTTTGTAATAAACTTAATAAAAAGAAAAAGGAAGGGCATAGAAGAAGAATAGCATATATTGGTATTTGTTATGAAAACTAAGCTCACCTGGAGAAACTGAGTGAATTCTGTGTAGTTAAGATGCTTCTTCCGGTTATGCCCAAAATGCAGTCGGATAAATTCACAGTCCCAGTTAAAAGGGATATGATGATGAATAATAGTCTGTCCAAAAATTTCTTTGACATTTTCTTAAAAGGGAAAACAAAAATAAATCAATTATATCTGGAATAAATAGTTTAACCCACTGCAATGTTCCTACAGAAAAAAATTAAGAGAAGTTTTAAAAGTCAATTATTATCTGCTTCTATTAAGATTAACTGCAAGTTTTGTGTGTGTGTGCCCAGAAACCATGCACAGGAGCACAACTGATATAAAAAATATAATTTTACACTTAATATTATGTACCATTGCATATAAGGCCATGAGATTCTTAATTTCTCTTTATTTAATTTTAATTAGAAAGTGATTTCTATCTTACATTATAAATGGCTGCTACTTTACATTCTATATAAAATCAATAGTGTTTTCCCAGTTCTTAAAGGAGTCGAATTAAACCCTTTATCAGAAGCATGAACACCTAAATTACAGTATAATGCAATATTTGTCATACTAAGTATGGTTTGATTGAGGCTTGATTATTACATTCACACTAGCCTGAATATGTCTATTGAAGATAGGTATAAGAAATACTATGAAAAGCATATCATTAGCTCAGCAGCAAGCACCTTATTAAAAGCTTCTGATATTGTTAAAAATATGGTCTTGACACAAAGCTTCAAAATCCCCCTAAAATCCATGATTATTAGTCTGAACTATTAAAATATTTTAAGATAAGTTAAATTAGTGATTCACTTTTAAATAAAGAGCTAAATGCAATACACTAATTTTTAGATAGGAACTAGTCACACTGTGTAACATAGAACCAAAATCCTCTGGCAGCTTGTCATCATGCACTAACAACATCATTCACTTTCTTACACAGTTCTATACTTACTATAAAAGTCAATTCACAAATGACTGGTACTTTAACAAGCATAGACTGGATAGACTAATTTAGAAGCTCATGCCAAAAAAAAAAAAGTCATGAACAAAGTTAAGAAAGCAGGAAGCCTGTTTTGCTGATGTCTTAAGAACAAAATGATTTTCAAATTTAAGCCAATTTTATTAGTGAAAGGTTTTACCATTAATAGCCATCAGTTATACTAGAGAATTAGGAAATACAAGTTTAAGGTTTTATAATCTCCAACTATGCTATTTTCTCTAATTTCTGCAAATTCTTTAAATAAGATACTGATCTCATATTGCAAATGGTTTAATGGATTCCCTTTAGTTTTATATATGTATACTTTTTCTTAATAAAAGCATTACTACTTGGATAGGGGAATGTAAAACTTCTGAACTGGACAGTCTAGACTCAATATAACAGCTCTGAATAGATTATAGCAATCAGCAAAGCTGGAAGAAGGCATTGCATGTCACTGAAGAGATGGGATTCTCATCTTTTCTTTCAAAAGGAATGCAGGATTCATTTCTTGCCTAAGTAGTGACAAATACTTCAGAGTTTTCAGGTCAAGTGATTTTCACCTTATATAAATAAAAATTTTTAAAGAAAAGAATTAACCCAATAGCAATTTGTGAGATCCTGGTTTCTAATCAACACAAAAAATGATCCTTAAATCTATGTGAAACTTCCAAGTTGTAAAATATGTTTATGTTTACAAAACAATTAAAAAAATAAAGGTAGCAGCCATATTTAGGGCTATAAATATTGTAGCTGATCATGACAGATTTTTAGGATCTTTCTAGTTTAACTAATTAGCTGTTTCTGGTCCCAAATTAATTAATTTCTTATTTTTAGGGTCTAACAAAAAGAACTGTTTTGCCTTCATGTTAAAAAAAATTAAAATTAATGGAAAGCAAATTAGAATAACAAATTACTATATTTATTTAATTAAGTAACATTATGATTATTAAAGGGAATCGTTATTTCATGGTAACCTTTTAAGGGTTATTTCAAGTTAAAATACAATGATTTGATAATAAATGTATATATGCAACCTTTTATATAATGATAGAATGAAACTGAATCCCTTTTATATAATCAGCAATTATCAGAATCTCAAATGTGAAACTATATAAAATAAAGTCCAAAATGCAAAAGCATTTAAGCTAAGGAAATTTAATTATCTATAAAAAAATTTTTGGCCAGGGACGGTGGCTCATACCTGTAATCCAGCACTTGGGAGGCCAAGGCAGGTGGATCACAAGGTCAGGAGTTTGAAACCAACCTGGCCCCCATGTGAAACCCTGTCTTTACTAAAAATATAAAATTCAGCCAGGCATGTTGGCACACACCTGTAGCCCCATCTACTCTGGAGGCTGAGGCAGGAGGGAGGCAGAGATTGCAGTGAGCTGAGATCATGCCAATGCACTTCAGCCTGGGCGACAGAGCAAGATTCCATCTCAAAAAAAAAAAAATTCTACTATCACAAAAAGGATATTTATGAACTAAATTTATAAAGTATAATTTACATCTGGAAAATATCTCTAATAAAAACTTTAGATATCCTATTTCATAAACTTCTTAGCCATCTCTAAATAAGATCTTAGAATCTCTGAAACAATTAAAATGATGACGTAAATTAGTCATAGTGATTGATCTCCCCAAATACAGAACTGTCATTTTCCATGAGTATTTGGACATTTTCTACTTCTCCCAAAGTGATCACTTGATGGCTTTGTATATGGTTTTGTTATGATCATTATTATATGCTGTGGTTTATTTACCCTGATACTTTCAGGGTTTTTAAAAAACATCATAGACTACTATAATTACTAGAATAATAAGATTACAAACCTATGTTGGCACTTCTGGAGATGTATTCTACTTCTCTTCTGTTGTTACTGTTTTTACTACCAATTGACTGAGGCTGATTCAGACACACAGAAATACTTAGTAGAACTATTGTTTTAGGTCCAATTCATAAATCGCCACTTTACTTGTATCAGAATGTGCTTCTAAAATTATATAAAAGCTCCAGAACTGGAGAGCTGATACTTGTGTGAAGGAATAACTCAAACAGCTGGCTTTTTTATGTTACCCAGTTTTATCAGGTCCTACATGACATGAAAGGGAACACCAATAGTCTCAAATATACCAAATACATCTAACTGAAACTGCACAGCAAGTTCCACCCACCCCCAGAGAGAATCCCATCTTTCCAGTGGCAAACAAGGATCTTTTTGCCCTGTTTAAGAACGCTATTTCTGTGGTATAGTTCTGGCCTGGAAGAAAGGGAGATGACAGTCACATCTTATTGGCAGCAAAATCACGATCTAGTATTTTATACTAGCTTGGCATAGCTAAGAGAAACAGGAATCCATTCATTTTCTGACATATAGAAAACAATAGACAACTTTTTCACTTCCTGCAGAGCATGGGCTTGTGAAAAGGATGCTTTATACTTTCATTGAAAAGGGAACTAGGGCCAGATACAAAAGTAGCCTGTCATTATGTTCTCTTTGCTCAAAGGAGAGGAGCAGTGATTTGTCAGGAGAGCAGGTAATGGTGACAACTGTGATTAAGTAAAAAATGTTCACAGATGTGTAACATTAGTCAGTTTGGCTGTATCAGTCACTTATGATGATTGGACTAGATGAAATACACATTGAAGCATATATATTATGTAAATATGTCTTAACAGAGGTTTTAATTTCCCCCACAGCCCATACTGTGTCTCCCCATCTCATCCACCCTCATCCCTCCCCTGGTTCTTATGGGCACTTCCTACTGGTCTTGTTCACCTTTCTGCAGTACAAAATTACCTCTGACCGGGGCTGGCACTCTTCTCCAAGACTGCCACCATGCCTGTTCCATGAATGAGCCTGGAAGGAGCTGCTGTACCAACGGTGTGGCCAGAGAACTCCTCCTGTAGGTATACAAGCCATCAGCCCTGTGACACAGCCCACCTACCATCAGCCCAATGACATCCTTATTCCAAGGATTCCAGCCCAGCAGGAGCCACTATGTCCAACTTATAGGCTTGAGACCAAACGTTCTTATTGTCAGAGGGAAAAGTTCCTCAATAGCTGAGTTTCACCTGCATAGTACTTAAAGTGAAGTCAGAGAGGCATTTAGGACTCCCACCATTAATGGTGAATATCCTTGCATATAACTGAACAAAAACAATGGTGAGACTTGTAGAAGTGAAGAGTTTTTCAGTGAAGGAAAAATTGGGGAGAAAGAAGAGGAACAACTGGGAGGCCAAAAAAGAAAACAAACAACAACAACAACAAAAAGACCAACAACAGGAACTTGTAGAGGAAGTCCCAACCAACATGGCATGTAGACTCAGTCCCTGACTTCTGGGTTCCACTCTCAGGTGATCATTAGTTTCCTGAATGACCTCCTGTTTCTCTGAAAGTATTTCTACTAGCCCTTTACCTACCTCTGGAAGGGACTACTGTATTTTCAATACAGTAGTCCTGCTGTCAAATATATGTAAAAGTCCATTTCTCAGGTAAGATGAGTTCACATTTAAAGACTGTCTATTGGTTGGGCGTGGTGGCTCACGACTGTAATCCCAGCCCTTTGGGAGTCCGAGACAGGTGGATCACCTGAGGTTAGGAGTTTGAGACCAGCCTGGCCAACATGGTGAAACCCTGTCTCTACTAAAAATACAAAAAATTAGTCGGCATAGTGGCACATATCTATAGTCCCACCTACTCGGAAAGCTGAGGCAGGAGGACCACTTGAACCTGGGAGGTGGAGGTTGCAGTGAGCAGAGACTGCACTACTGCACTCTAGCCTGGGTGACACAGCAAGATCCTGTCTCAAAATACATACATATATATGTACTTACATAAATAAAGACTATTATTATTTAAACTAGACGCTTCAACAGTCTATCATCAAATAGCATAAAAACTAATAACACTCCATCCTTTTTTTAACCTTGAACTCTTAAGCTACTCTAGTAGCCTTGAGTACAAAAACAAAAACAAAAAATTATCTGTAATATCTGAAAGCAAAAATATAAAAAATTCTTCCTGATTTAATTTGAATACCCAGGTGAAGCTCTACTTCTTACCAAATTAAACTAGGTATTTATTATTATAGAATTTTCATTTATTTTTATGAGAGTCTTGCTTTGTCATGCAGGCTGAAATCAGTGGTGTGATCTTGGCT